GAAGAAGAAGAAAAATCGTAAAAGTTTCGATGGATTGTTATCTTGAAAAATTTGCATTTTTCCTTTAACTTTTTTCTTTTTTTTTTTTTTTACGTGCATTTATTAATGCACATATCACTTATCGGAGATAAATAATTTGATAAAGAGATATAAAATATAAAATATTATAACACACACCACGCGATTGTCTAGATATAATTGTTTTTCTTAAATTTTAACAATTTTTTCGACTATTCCATGGTATCTGTAAGTATAGAAAAATTGTTAAAAAACATTATAAAGTAATTAATATATAAATCTCAAAGGGAATTATAAACGGTTAATAAATCTGATGAACAATTTATTTTGAACTAGTTGTACGTTTCGTCCCTTACTGGGGACTTCGTCAGCAACTTGATCAGTATATGATTACTTGTGATAAGATAAGGTGTTTTAGGATTAAATTGTATTGTAATATGTTAAGTTTTATTGAAATGTATGACTCTGTAAAAAAGATAATATGTATTGACACGTGAACTGTAAATGATCAAGTTGCTGATGAAGTCCCCAGTAAGAGACGAAACGTACAACTAGTTGAAAATAAATTGTTCATCAGATTTATTAACCGTCTATAATTCCCTTTGAGACTTATATATTAATATATTTTTTGGACAAGAATATTGATAATTAAAATTATAAAGTAATTAGTTTCTGTATATTAAGTGGATAGAAGGTACCAAGGAGAGATGGGAATAAGGATATGATATTAATTAGGGATTTAAAAGAAACTAATTATCATTATAATGTTTATGGTAAGCGGTCTTTGGCTGTGTTTTACTTGCAATGGAATATATAACATACATAAAATATGTTAAACATTATACTGAAAGTAAAACACCATTGCCCGGGTCTAACCACGAGGAGGTAACCGCTTCTGAAGACCCGGGATGTGCATCCTGAAGATGTTCACATCCAAATTAAATTGAAAGGAATTAAGATTATCAAACCAAGAACAATTTTAAGGAACATCACTCTTAATATTAACAGAAAACTAATTGAAAAAAGTAACACATCAAATAAAAATATATTAAAATTATTTTTTATTCAAGGTATGTTAAACAATCTGAAATATAAAGAAAGTTTATTAGAGTATTAAAATAATTGTTAATTAATCGATAGAAATGTCTATGATTGTTAAAAAGCTCAGAATATATGTGCTGTCAACCATCTTCCTCGAAATGCACCTTGAGACTGGCACTTTCTCTTCTATGAAAATACTTTTATTGAGAATTGTTTATATGATTTTTCCGAACGTTGCGCATGTGTATAAAGTGAATAATTAATTTAATGAATAAAATTTAAGATTCCAACGCTCTTATTTTTACCATCTTTACATTTTTATGTAATTGTCTTTTATGAAAGTACTTTTATTAATAATATATTGTTTATATGACTTACCGAACGTTGTGTATTTTTATAAAGGGAATAATCCATTTGACCAATAAAATTAAAAATTAAAACGTTCTGATTTTAGCATTTTATTTTCTATTTTTATTTAATTATTTTAATAACGCTACCGTTAACGTTTTGAAATATTTCTTCGAAACGTCGAGGGACGCGTCGAAACAAGAAGTCAATAATTCGTAATAGAAAGAAAAGTAAATTGAAATATATGAATATCTGGGTATAACTCAGTATAGTAGGAAAGATGACCGAAGTAGGAAAAGATAAATCGTCTTTGACGGAAATCCTTAGCGAATAAATCGAAGTGAAAAGAAGGAGGAAAGAAAGATAGCGTAGAAAATAGCAAGAAGAGGAAGAGGAGGAGGAGGAGGAGGAGGAGGAGGTGGAAGAGGGGAAAAGTCGTCCCACTTTGGAGTTTTACGAGAATTTTGCATTCTAGCGAGAAGAAATTGCTCGTATATTGCATGGGTTTCAACACTAAACCCTATCACGCTCGGTCAAATTACTGAGTTCTGTAATTTGCGAAAATGTAGTAATTTGTAGAAATCATATATTTTCTACAAAATGTATTCACAAATCAATGTAGAAATGCATAATATGTGCATTATTCATTTCCACGTAAAAAGATGATATATTATTCGCTAACTAATTAGTTAAAATTTCATTCTATGTTATATAAATATATATATTATATTATATTATTCTATATTAAAGATATATAATTGTATATTTTTTAAATAAACGATATTATATATAGAGATAAGTATACATAAAGTGTCGCGTAAATTAACTGTTGAAAAGTCACATATTTAATTCAAAGGGATGCAATTTAAAAAAAATTAAAGGCTAAGAAAAATTCACGACGACTATTAATTACTACTTGGAATAAATGAAAAGAGTATAAGGGAGTATCATCATGCAGTAAAGAGAGAAGAAAATAAGATTGAAAAAATAAACTGAAATAAATGATATCTGAAAAAGTTTCGAATAAAATGGTTATAATTAAGAGAAGAGAATTTATTCTTGAAATGTGTTGAATACTTATATAAACTGTCTGAACATTATATATATTTTATATTTTGTATCTTTTTCAATTATGAACGAAGCTAAATATAAAAAGAAAAAAAAGGTGGAAAGTGGGAGGAAGGGGGCGAGGGGGCGAGGGGGAAGGAACAGTTAAAAGAATCAGGTTTATCAGAGAAAAGATAAAGAAAACAAGTCTGTCTACATGGAAATCAGCTTTCTCACTGGCAAACGGTCGATCACGAACGGAAGCTTTTTCCTAGCTAGTTCGAGAACGATAACGCCTTTATTTCCCTTCCTATCCCTTCCCTTCCCTACCCTTCCCAACCCTCCTACATTTTTCCCCGAGAACCTAAGAAATTGCTTCGTTTTATTGGCTATGATCCGGTCGAACCTGGGAAATGTTGTTTACGCTACTGCCAACGAAGATCTTGTTTCTTTCGACGTATATTCAACTATTATATATACACAGGTTTTTTACAATCCTACACACGTTTAATAAAACCCCTAAACTTATTTCTTATTGACAATGAGAATAGAATTATTGTTTTGTAACGTTTAACAATTTTTTTCTTTGCTTTCTTCATTATTTCTTTTTACAACATTTTTGTTCCCACCCTCCACCCCCGGATAGAATTTTCTTTAATAGTTAACTTAAATATCATTCGCAAAAGGGATGAAATATTTAAATATTTTTTTTTTCCTTTTTTTAATCATTTTATCGTTCATTCACGTCGAAAACAGTAGACAAATTTAAACCGCTTTTCGAATTCGTTACGAATTTCGAAAAGCTTTGACGGACACACGTCCGTTTTGGTAGAGTACGCATGGTTAAATTACAAGCTCGTTCGCGATATATATTCGTTTCGTCAACGTCAATATTGACGTTCTTTGATCTGTACCTTTTTCAAGCTTGCCTTTCAATACCAAAGATTTAAAAATACGTAAGAGTAAAAATGTTCAAGATTTTGTTCTATTACCATCTGCCATTTTATTATTATATTATATCTTTCAAATATATGATTACAATGGATGAAATTATTTTTCAAAATTATAATTATCATTCGCATATTTAATAAATAATATCAAATAAATGAATACGAATGTAACAATCATTATTTTCTTTTTCAATTGATAATACTCATAATGAATAAAAAAAAACAAATGCTATTTTAATTGTATAAGAAAATTATTGAAGCTTCAATCTTTTAAATGAATTTGTTTTAGGAATTGTGATAAACAACAAAATGAATGTAATATCGGTTTGCAGGTGTAATATATTGTGAATATTTATCTTCTTAAGATGATAATCTTCCGTCAAAGATTTGTTACATTAGCGTATGATGCTATTTATCATACGCCTATTACTCACGATTTGAAACTCAATGACACCGTACGTACGATCATCGATTTAGACCAGTATCATAGGACATATTTCATAAACGTTTATGTCGTTGACAGATAATTATTATCACTATAACCGACCAAGCGAAGCGAGACAATGCTCTTGGCATTTCCCACGTCATTGCTTCGAAAATAAAATTCGATTCGAATTTAACACAATAGAGAAAAGAAAAGCCCTTTTTTTTTACATCATTTAGTTCGTTCCAATTTCTTTTTTTTTTTTTTTTTTTTTTTTTTTTTTT